CCATCTACATGTTAGGAGAATAAAATAATTGATAGAAGCAGTTTGGTTGACGGACAAACAAGCGAGGTGGTCGGGAACCATACCGCATGTATAGCGCGTAGGCAATGTAAACAAAATACATATGCGCGCATAACGACAAGCGCTAAGCAGGCCTGGACAAGTGTTGTGTTTTACCTTTGCAAGAGAAGTTCCCGTGTCGAATTTGCCGAATCGTGCCTATTCAAAAGAGCGCGTGCTACTTTAAGTATTTAAACGTATCTATGACCGCTTCAGCAATGCCTTAAACAAACTTTGGAGACAAGATGAGCCTGAATTGGAGGCGGAATGACTACTTTCAGCGGTTACTGGAGGAGGGTCCTGCAAGCCACTCCGCCCTGGAGTTGTTGGTAGACGATCTTCACCGTGATAAAGCCCACACCATCGGGGCGTTTCTCGATCACTACGGCTCTGAAGATTTCCTGTGGGGCTTGGTCCGAATGCTGAGTGCTGAAAATACCAGGTAGGCCTGGGTACAACACGCAGATCGTGTTATCATGTAACTATCTGCTCTATTTCCAAGGATGTATTTCTTTCTGCACTGTTAAATGTTAAATGAGAAAATCACATCAGTGATTGCAAAGTGAATAAGCCTTATTCCTGATACCACATGAGTGATTTTGCACAATGGTAGAAAGGCACCGTGGGAAGGAAAAGGGGGCAATGTTTGCTCCTTTTTCTTTCCCAACCTGCCTTTCTACCATTGTACAAAATCACTCATGCAGTATCAGCAGTAAGGTTTATAATTCAGAGATCGTTAGAGTCATGATTAATAGCCACAGGCAGGTAGGCCCTATTTGATGTTACATTAGAGGTAGGCCTATAGTACACAACATTCAGTGTTAAAACAATAAAAGATCATGTTGTAGACTTTATTTAGAATTGTAAAAAAAAATGCAAACACGCCATTTAACACTTCACTATTTACATGTATTTGAGTTGACCACGGATGTGGCCTTACAGTAAGTGAAATCAGGGAAAGAATTCCTTCGTCCTGTACTGATGTTTTCCCTGTTGACTTGCTTTCACCATAACTTGTACCTTGGATGACTCGCGCCTTGGACAACTCATACCCTGAGTTAAGACCACACGTACCTGGGTCTGTCCACACTAACGGATACATTTGCACGTAACCAAAATCATCTCTTTCTTTAACAGTGTTGAGAGTCAAGAAATGAACTTTAACAATTTTACTGATGTATGATTGTGGAGATATAGTTTACACAGTTTAATAGGATTTGGTTGTTCTTTGTTAAAATAATCAGGATCTTGATGAAAATGTCCAGTTTACATGTATATTAGGGGTTCTGGTGGGACATGCACATAACTGTGAAAGTTCATGTTTTTCAGGTTATCTAAAATACCACTCTTATAGAGAAAAGCAATTCATTTGTTAAAACATGGGTGCTACAGGTATCACATTTGAGAAATGGGTCAAAATCTTACATGGCTCTTTATTTCTTTAGTTATCTTAAACCGGAATTTAAGGAGAGCTAATTAAGGAATAACGTACGTGACAGTGTCTGTCCACAGACTGACAAACATGAAACAGGCTGATTTTGCCATTCCTTGAGCAGATAACCTCAACAAAAACATGTATATCTTCCTGAGAAAAGTTTTTACAATAATAGTTGTATTTATTTAAAGCAAATTAGGTGACTGAGAAACCAAATTATTATTCAAGTTGATTGAAATAAAATAGGCTCTGAGTAAGCCTTGATTTCTGTGAAGGTACAAGTTGTCTCGTACACGAAGGTAGGAGTTGTCTTTACTGGAGGTACGGTACTCTGCAAAGGTATGAGTTGGTACAGTTAAGCTGAGTTGATGGTATGAGTTATCCAAGGTACATGTCAACCTGTTTCCTAGTGACCTACAGTGTAGCATTAGCCATCAGAAAGCAATAAAATAGCCCGAAGTTCAGTGAAATTATTGGGGTATTCACTTGAATGACATGTAGCTTGTGCACAGGTTGTCAAGCGGCATTGGTATAAGGAATACTTTCCCAAAAAAATGTCATCCTGTTATGATCTTCACTTCACGATGAAGACTGACACTGATAATACATGTAGTTTAGTGAGATCTTTTTGAGTACCGGTTCATTGGTGTACCAGGATATTCACTATTTTACATCAAGTGACATAGTGGTTGTTTTTGATTTAAATCCCAACTTGATCAATCCTTTGCATTTTTATGTAAATAATTTTACCACATTGGAACATGTAAACTTTTAGTTAAGATTTATTCGTCTTGGTGCATACTGAGTGAATTGCAATTTTTTTGTGTAAGTTTAAAGAAAATTTGTTTCCCTCTCTGTAGTCTGTATCATTGGGTGCGTATCGTAAGTCTGATGCGTCGGAATAATGAGGCGTCAAATTTATGGGCAATTTTTTTTTTCAGCCTCAGAGTTCCGACGCCTCAAAGGTCCAATGCCTCATACTGTACATTTAAATCCTACGTCGGACCAACGAGGTGTTGGACTTACATGTAATATGAGGCATCTGTGTGATTGACTGTTAAACATGGAGGAGTGTGGGCCCACACGACACTTGGCCCAAGAGCGAGATTCAACTTTGTTCCCAACTCGTGCCCACGGTACTGACCGTGTTAGGAAAACTAAATCAAGCAGACTACCTGCACAGTTTGTACAGTGGTCCAGTATTTTTTAAATCCCAAATACCACTACTTGTATGTGTAAGAATGATGTACATGTATGATACTTTGCTAAATATTAAAAGAATTTTTTTTTTACTGTAATACTTTTGAGATCTTAAAAATGATTGTGTCATAAATAGTACACCGTCTTCATACGCTCGTAACGAGCTTCAAATCAAATGTTGGACTTCCCAGATGTCAGATTTTTTGAGGCGTTGAATCTACATGTATGCCATAGGCAAAAAAACCCTGGAACTTTTAAACACATTTGTTGGACTTATGAGGCGTCGGACTTATGAGCTGACCCCATATCATCATGATAACTCTTGAAGACTTAAGAAAAACATGTACATGTAATTGGCCCAACATTGAAAACAATAATTGAGACACTCATGTCTCAACTCTCTCTCTAAATACTTGTAGTTCTTGGCCTGAGGTACATGTACCGGTACTTGTAGCACCACCAAGGGGTGTCAGTCTAAAAAATCTTCCTGGGAGAGGAAGGCAGTTTTTAACCTTTGCCAGGAAGGGGCAGGCAGATTTCAATTTGGAATCCCTGGGATGTTCTGTGTGTTTTTCTCATTTCAAAGAGTCGTCAGAGTTTCATGTTTTTGAGATGCACTGCAGGTCCCTGTAAAATACAGCTTCAGGTTCTTTGAACATACTTTACATTACATCATAGAGCAAGGAAATGTACATGTGCACTTGTACACTACTTGTAAGTTGGTTGTGCATGGTGCTGGTGGCCATTTTCAGGTAAGATCTTTAATTTTGTTCCCAGGGATACACGTGAGTAGACCTTTTGTGCTATCCCTCAGTAACAAAAGTAGTTACTGGAAAGATGGCTGTCATGCATAACCGTAATGTTGACTCCCTTACTGTTATTCTTTTTGCCTTTTGTTAATTTGTAAAGTTCTCAGTACATGTAATGAATTCAGTGCAGTACATTGTGCAAACAAAGGCATTTGGACCGCATGTACATGTACATGTACGGTAGTGTGGTTGCAAACATACTGTACTGGGCATACGCATTGTGTATTCACCATTTGCCAGTGAGGAGTTCATTTCACAGAATTCAATTCTGTACCTGCTTGCAGCACTACAAAGTGATGCTTACGGGTCAAACATACCAGTGTCTTGTCTTTGTGCTTGAAGTCTTCAAAGTCTTGACGTGTTGACTTGTTGCAGTGTAATGGGTTTGAATAGTAGGATCAAAGTGTCTGGGTGTGGGCGTATGAAAGGAAGGAGAAGAGGGCAAATATTGACTGCTGCATGAAAAGCCAACTGGTAAAGGCACAGTGGCAATAGGTTTTAGTGTTCAATAAGTTGGGTTGCAACTTGCAAGGCCTATCATTCTTGGGCAAGTGCTCTTATTCAACATTTATTTTTTCCATTTCTTTACCCAGGGTATGCCCGAATAGTTACAAACTGGTTTCCATTGGGGCCCTGCGATCATTACAAGTGAATAAAATAGTTACTTGTAGAATCTCACAACAAAAAGTTCTGTTTTTAAAATACATGTACCCTAAAGAAAAAGTAAATTTTTGCTTTAGCATACTCAGAAAAATAAAATTAACTTTGAGTTTGAATATTTTTTCAGCTGACTCTAAATGCTGGATCAGAAAAAAATTTAGTTCGTGATTTTTTTCAAAGTGCTAACAATCCAGCATCGTGAAGAATTTGTTCACTTTAATTCAATTACATGTGTAAATTTGTACACATATACACGTACATGTAGTTGGTGGGTTCATAATCCAATTACTAAAAATGTTGGCCTCACATTGTACTGTACCGGTACATGCACATTTACTTGAAAGCATTTTCTTCGGGTACTTGATGTTTAACGAAAAATGTTCCAAGAAATTCATGAGAAAAGTTTCTAACAATCGTTGCTCACAGTCACATTTGATAAATTTAGATGATATAACACACTGGTGAAATCCATGCACATGTACATACATGTATTTAAGACATGAAAACACCATCTGTGGGTGACCCACAAATTATTCGAAGACATGTAGGCCATTTAAGTGATGTACATGTAGAAGTGTTCCAATCACTTTATTGAAGTGCATAATTCTACACCTGGCTATAATGATATCAGTATTGTTCAGATAGCAAAGATTAGCTGATGTCAATCAATATTTACATGTACCTCTGTGCCAATATGACAACTATACATTCCCAAGTCAACATGCACAATACATGTTCACATGACACAATTCCAAAGCTCATGTACATATATATTTGCGAAGATACATGTATTTGCATGTAACTTAGGGACCGTCCGAACGTACATAGCATACGAAGGACGAGGGGGTCGTGGGCAGCGTTCAACTTTTCGGGTCATGTAAAATGCTGATATTTTAGTATGTACATGTACTAGTAGTATTCTCACATACACTTAAAACGTGAAAAATCAAGAAAAAGCTAGCATTACATACATAATCACCAGTCGCGTGCTGAAAGCTGCCTTTGATGGAGAGTAAATTCACAAAGTTTGCATGCATCGTGCATGAGGTACATACTATTTTCCTTGTACTGTAGGTCCACCCACAGTGGCGCGGCCTGGTACACTGTGTTGGTATGATGCACTTCGGGTGTACATGTATACTGTATGTATGTACAATGTACTGTACGTGAAGCCCAGCCTACAGTATGAGCACAAGCACACAGCTCAATATGCCAACAGTACAGTACGTGTACTAAATAACCTTTTGCATTGTTGCGCATCGTTTCCAACACTGTATCCATTTTTACCCACATAGTTTTGTCCTTGTTAGGGGGGGGTGTCCACATTATCATTGATGAATAAAAAGTTTTTTAATGTGTCTAAACAATGCTTTCATATTTAACCCTTTTAGTTTTAAAACATGAAGGCTTTCAAAAATTCATATCTCTCTGCTTAAAAATGGGCACTTTCCAACAATGTAGCACCTACATGTATGGAGTTTGTTGATATTTCAAGTGTACTCTGTGTACTATGAAAATGTTGAGAACTTTGGACAACCCCTTACATGTATGTATGCAATGTGTAATGCTTAGAAAAGCTTTAATCTTTGATGTTTGGAAGCATGCTAGACTTTTCCTGTGGCTCACCAATTGTCACCATGTCCATAAATTGTAGCTCAAGACATTTGGGACATTTATTTACCACAGTGTACACCAAAAGTATGCCATTGCACTAGCATATTAAAACACCTGTACACATACATGTACCTGTATGTTGTGCATAGGCTGGTTGATATTTTTCATTGATATACCGGTATTTCTGAAATCCAGTGCATTGAGTACATTTGATATTTCAAACATATTCAATATTCCCCATAAATGTGTACCAGTGCACTCTTGTAAACTCAGAACCATACGTTCATGTATATTTACATGTAAATTTATAACTTGAAGTTCTGTTTATTGTCAACTCGCAGTTTTATTCCCATCAGTAGATGAATCTCCATAACTTGAAATGTCCCGATGGTACGTGTACTTTGGTTTTGTTTAAGCAAAGAAACTGCTCCCAGAACAGTCAAAAACAAGTATAAACAGATTGTGAAACTTTTTCATGAGTCATTGCACCCCGGCACAATTTGTCCTTTCATGCTGGGGTAAGATGTGCAAACCATTCATGTACATGTACTGTACATGAACCTTACCATTGTGATCAGACAAGCCACCAGATCCCTTCCCCACTCTCAATTGTAGTATGTCCATTGGCAGTCCAATCCATGGTTCTGTGCAGTGGCTGTGTGACTAAATTTGAAATCTAGCTTTTGAATCAGATTGCTATTACTGGCTCTCATGCAGTTAGTGGTTTGTGTGGGGCAGTGTGCGTTATAAATGCATGTGGTGCATAATGACAAGAAATAAAGATTCACTACACAATTTGATTTATTCTTTGGTATTACATGTACTGATAAAGCAACTAGAGGCAAGACTGTTACAAAATTATAAAACCATATTTTTGGACTCAAGAAAAGCAAGATAAATTTTGATGGTTCATCCACGCAAAGAAGATTACAAATTCCAATGGATGGTGAGAGCATGGGTCGTACTTGTATACTACATGTACGTTGGTGCTTATGACTTTTTGCTGACTTGATTTCAAGTCACAGACACAATTTGGCAACTACATTGCACAAGCTATTTCAGAATAAAAAATAATTGAATAATCAATGATCTGACTTGTTTTCAATATTTTTGATATTATTCTTGTATAGTAATTTTCAACATTTTGATATATTGGTGGTATCGATTTTAAATAAAGTAAATGATTATTATCCATAGGCTATTGATGAACTCTAGTCACGCTAAACAAAGACCTGAATGTCATATATTTTGTGTCAGAAAACACTGACTGCATTTACTTCAACCAAGAAGAGATTACTATGCTACCTCCCACTTCATATCACATCAAGGGCTTTCACGTTTAGTTTGGAAAAATTCCTGAAACACAAGGGCTTTCCTACATGTAGTGAACCTTCACCCACATAAAAACTTTGAGTAGACTATGTTGTTTATTCAATGGTTCCGAGTTCAATCTGTAATGAATTATTCATACATGTATATGTATGTACTGTTATTCTAGAACTTACAAAATGCCAATAATTTATGCATGAAATCAATGCTGTCATGAATAAATCATTCTTCTAGAGTTACTGCAACTGTCACCGACCTGTATGCTTACTTAGTGAATAGCACTGTACTGTTAATTATTTATTTACTCTGTCCCAGTTTTCAGACTGTTGCAAACCTTGTAGACATGCTAATTGTTGAAATGGTAAAGAAGGTGCAAGCCCCTTCATCCACAGTTCACATAGTCTACAGCAGTAGAATTAATTATTCATTTTACCTCGATTATTTCTGTTTTAGGGTTTTTTAAATGGATCATTTTGATGCCCCGTGGAAATACAGGATGTATGTGCATTTGACCTTTTACGCAGTGGTTGAACTTGAAGATACAAGAAGGTTCCCAGCAAAATATCTCAGAAAAAAGTTAAATAGAAATTTATTGTTTGAATTCTTTATCTCTGGGTATTTCTCTCGTTTACTTTGCAAAGCATGCACTTGTAGCCACAGGAATATAATGAAATGAGAAGTTCCGTGCTTGATTTGCTGTAATTCCCCTACCGGTATATCCTTGAAATTTAAATTCTTTGTTAATATGCTTAAAAATGAATAATTTGTGTGCTCTCCTAGGGTTGCTGGAAACTCCGCCTACATATTTGGCACTGTTGCTGAGAGTGTTGAAGGTCAGCAGAGAGTGCTATCACTTATCAATGGACCACACCCCCAGAATATCCTGGCTGATTTGACTAACATGCTTGACTACGATGATGATGAGTCTGTCATGAATGCTGCTGGTACCCTGGGAACACTGGTAAATCACAAGAACTCAAACACTTTGATCAAACATCTTGGAATAAAACTTTGACAATCATCCAGGACTGTTCTGTTCTGACCGTAGTAGTAACATATTGTGGGCTACTTTTGTAGACATGTGTATGCCAGAGTATCTGAACTTTCTGTTCAGTGATATTGAGTCATATTTTTACTGCAGGATACTTGAGATGTACATTTATGCCGAAAAGATTCAGTCATACATATACATTTAATTAAAAAGTAATAAACATACACGCACATGTATGAGCTTGAGCAAAATCATTACACAACCTGCTAGCACATAACATCCTTCAGTACATGTCCTTGTTTGCTCTCTAAGGCTGAGAGCTCAGGTGGAAGAGAATGGATGTTAAAGGAACCGTGTCTGCAAGTGACCATCAGTAGAGTGACTGGTTTACTGAACAGTAACAACCTCTGGACAGCTAGCAATGCAGCCTTGGTCTTAGCAAGGTAAGTCTGGATTTACTACAAGAGAAATGATCAATCAACTGACCAGTAACAACCTCTGGGCACCTAGCTGGGCAGTCCTGGTCAGTAGCATGACAAGCGGACAGGCCCAGACACTATTCGTAACATTTTGCAAAGGTATGCTGTATTTCTGTGAAAGATACATGTATTGATGATGTGGCATCAATTCCATTGATTGTAAAAATGCTTGCCATTTATGCAGATTATCGATAGCAGAGGAGGGATGCCAGCTAATGTTAGACCACAGTTTTTGTCATCAGATCTTGACCAAGCTTGTAGAATCCCTTGGTATAGATGAAGCAGGTACATGTACATGCATAGATTTTCATTTAGCATGTTTTTCCCTTCAGCTCCTGAAAGCATCTGCTAAACTCTCAAACTTCTTTTTTTTTTTTTGAAAAACTGTAGAAAAGAAGTACTTGGATATTGTTGAGGTGTTTCATGCATGGATGTTTCATGGCATGAATTTATTAATGTAAAGTACGTGATCAGTGAGTACATGAAGGTAGGGCTGGTACTCAATTGGGCTTGCACTGCTAACGTTAACGATTGATAAATTTATGAATGATACCCAGCTCCATTCTTGAACAAACAAGCCCAGTTTGGACATTTATGCCAAATCACTTGACTCCATCTCTCACTATGAATACGTGGTGAAATATTAACTTTATGAACTGATATCTCCTGATCAATAGGACGAGGCATGAATGCAGCCTTTGCTTTGGGTAGATTGTGTGACTTGGAGACAGGTAGAATCAGACTACTACAACATCCAGACTCCGAAAAAATGGTGAGAAACATGCTGATTAGAGCGTAAGAAATTAGTTCAGAAAAGAAATGTGATGTGATGTCCAGTTTCTCTGTCCTACAAAATATAGCCAACTCATGATTCGAAAATAAGTATATGTGCTATAAATTTAGTAAATGTTGCACATAATTTCAATTTTCCACAATCCCACAAAGTTGGCATGTCCAAAAAATTTCCTTATGTGTTTATTAATTTTCAGATGAGTAGACTGTGCAGCATGCTCTCCAGTAAAGACTCAGGGTGTGGCAAGAACGCTTGCTATGCCATTAGTTGCCTAGCAACCAGTACTCAAGGTCATGGCAGGTTGCTAGGTCACAATAATTCGGAGGTCATGTTGCAGAGGCTGGGGTCACAACTGAGTAACGAGGACTCTGAGACAGCATGGTTTGCTGCTATGTGAGTATTTAGCCATGTCCAAATCACTTGGCTTTGGCTGACAATGTTGAATGTGTCCATGGAAAAGGCAGTCATTTTGGACATAGCATGAGGAACAGCTTCTATTTGTGTGTAAACTCTGCAAGCTTGACCCACTGGGATAGATAGAGTTTTATGCACTATGCAGGGTTTAATGCTTAGATTTTCACTGTGAAATCTTAAAGTCTTCCCTCATCAGCTTGTCTTACATACATATATACGTACAAGTATATCTAAAGATTGTCAAGCATCAAGATTTGATTCTTGCTAGCTCTCTTAGGCCCTGTGATATGTTGACTCTGAGTTTATTTTGTTCATACTATATTTGGAATAGGACATTGCGGACACTAGCAAGTAAACGAGCTGGTTGTTTAAGGTTGCGGAATCACCCCCATGTTGTCCCTGCTCTACAGGTCAGTATATTTAAAATGACGACAGCTTAAGCTCATATACAGACCTCTCCTTGCTAAAACTTCTTAGACACAATAGAGGTAATTCACAAGCCCACAAAGTTTACCTGAAGAAGGTCTATTGTTGGATAGTGGGTCTACATTTAGTACTATGCAGTGGTTCACCGTTCACAACCTTTAGAAGATACAGCGGGCATCCAGCGGGTGAAGTTGATGTGGATCGACAAATATCAGACATATTTGAAGGGGAAGTTGCAACATGTTGGTTGTGAATGCGTGGACGAAGTATAATGATCTAAAACCATACCTAATCATACATGCAGTGGATTTGTGTGATGTTGATCTTTTCCCATAATGCATTACAACCTTCCATTGATGTGAGCCACCTTAGTAACAATTAGCTGTATTGTAATTGCTCCTAATGTCTTATTGTCTTGTATTAAAAAATGTCCAGATTGTTCAGTGCAAAGACCTATCACATCAAGATTTGAAGGAAGAGGTGGCACTGACGTTAGAACTCCTGAAGACATTACACCAACCTAGGCCACCTAGGCTAGAGGTCAAAGGTTATAGTGATATCCATGCTGCTTGGGATGAAGTCACATTGAAGAGTGGTTTGGAAGTCACCTACAGGTTGTATAGTGGTGAGCAAGATCATGGTGCTAAAATTGTCTCCTCTGCAAAAAATAAGTAGAATTAATGGTATGGCTGAATTCCTTTTTGAACGTAAAATAGATTATTGTTTGTTATTCCTTATTTTACAGGATATCATTTGTGAAATAAACTGAATTCACAATATTTTTCAGTTATATTTAAGGTGCTTTATATAGCACCTTAAATGCATCAGGTGCCTTATATATGCGTTATATTTAAGGTGTCAAATACATGTAGTTTGAATGTACATGTTCATCCACACTTTCGTATTGTCCAGATTCTGACGTCATTTACGAAGGGAAATCTCTCAGTCATCTTGTCACTGGACTCCGAGCCGACACACGGTATTCCTTCAGACTTCAGCTCAGTACCGAAGGTGATGATAGCCCATTAAGTGAGGTTACTTTGGCAACCACTGAAGAATCTCCACCTGATGCCCCACAAGGGCTGAGGATTCTGGCAGTGACGATCTCCCAGCTCAAATTAGGCTGGGCACCTCCTGAATTCAACAATGGTGCCCTGAAGGGATATGTGGTTTATAATAGAAAACAGCAGGTAGAGACAACAACAGAGTTGAGTAGCATTGTGAGTGGTCTGACGCCAGGTACAACCTATGATCTTCATGTGAGTACATTTTGTATTGCAGTAGGGTGTCAGTCCAACGCGTATTCATGAGCAAGACAATGTGCATTGATTGTTTCCATCCTTCCAGAAGCAGATTGGCACCTGTAAGGGTAAATGCAGTTAGCAATACAGAAACTTGCTTACATTTACTTGAAATAACTGAATTAAGCCATTTGTGAATCTTGTGTCAAGAAGCAGGTCTAGGTTGTCACAGGTTCCAAATATTTTGTATTTATAGACAATGGACATAGTTAGTTGACACCCTGGAAGTTAATTTTAGCCCTTGCTCATGTGGAAAAATATAAAGGATATTGTGGTTGGTCCTGCTTAATCACAGATCTGAGCTCTAAAGGCTTGGAATGGAATTGTGCAACTTTTTTTCCTGGAGTACGGGTGCCTCTTTAATGCCTAACATTTCTGGATTGATTGTGTTTCTGATTGTAGGTGTGTGCCTTCAACCACAAAGGTAAAGGACCTAAAGCCACCATTACAGCCACTACAACAGAGCTAGGTAAGTACAGTTGAAGTGATGTCTTCAAGGGTTTCATTGAACAGCATCATTGTAGAGTATATTGTTTGTTTTTCCACAGTGACCATAAGCAATGTTATGTCCAATGAATAAGTTGAAAATGGTAGATGTACTGTACATGTTCACTTCTGTACAGCACTTCAAAAATCTTGAAAATGAAACAGCAGGTGAATTCTCTTGTGTTGGCATGTTGGAAGGCAAGACCGTAATACTCTCTGAAATTTCTCCCTCAGTGAATTAGTGTTTCTTGTTTTCTTACAGTTAGGTGACATGTTCCCTTTGAATTAGCCTATCAGTGTTTTTCAGAGTTTTGTCAACTGCAAGTAATACATGTCAATTCCTGTTGGTCTCCCTCTGTAGGCAAGCATGCTCCTGGTAAGCCTAACCTGACGGTCAGAGGTCGTAGTGAGATCCACGTTACATGGACACCCCCAGAGTTCCCCCTTGGTCGACTTCATCGCTTTGAGTTGACCCAGAATGGGAAGGTCATCTACTCAGGCACAGAGCTCAGCTACACAGCTCATCGACTCACTCCCAACACTGAGTATAAATTCACTGTAAGTTAAAGTCATAAGTCTTGTTTTCCTAGTAATGTTATTGCTGTCGAAGACATTTTATTCTTACAGCATTAGTAGTGAACGTTACTACTGTTCTGGCTGCTGTTTCAACCATTTTGCAATTTTCATTCAAAGGGATATATCAGCCCTTACTTCACATTTCTATTATTGTTTGTTTTAGGTTATTGCTGTGACCAGTGAAGGAAAATGTGAAAGTGATGCAGCCAAAAAGAAAACTCCAAAAGATGAATGTAAGTCTCCCTAAAAGATTGGGTCATTACTTCACACGCAAGCAGACTTCTGCCATCGATAAAAAGTCCCTCTAGAAGTAGAACACATTTCAACAATAATGAATTTTCAGTTTTGCCGTTGATTTTGTGTGTGGTGTTGGCTTCAGAAGTCTTTGTAGAAAGCCTACCAAGAATGTCTGGATTAGAAACTTCAGTTCTGTTTGGTTTTGTCTTTTTTCAGACAACGTGCAATCAACAGCTCCTATTTTCTTCTCTCATCCAGTCAGAGCAGGAGAAGATGCATCAGGTATGTGACAGTATTGATTGATTTGAATTGATAAGAATTACAGTGATTCAATCTACAGCATTTTTCCCTAAGAGTATAGAGCTCACGTCTGTTCACTCTTCCTGTGGTTGGGAAATGTTCTGCTAATAATGGACGTGTCCTGTCTATTTTTAGCAAGTGCAGAAGGGAATGTAAATGTAGAAGTAAGATGTAAAAATGAAATTTTCTGAAATTGCTTGGTTGATGATATGGTATTTTTTCAGGAAAGAGCAAAGAAAAGAGCCTCAGGACCCAGTCAAGGCACGGTCGCAAGAGGGGAAGCTCAGCAAGAGTAAGTGCAGCCCACTTTCATATTTATTCTCTCGGATGTTCTTTAATATTAACTGTGCCTGGTTTTTGAAAGATAAGTGGATTTCTGAGTTTTACAGAAATTGCTACCGGAAAATCTAAGTAATTTTACAGGTTTCATTTCTAGAGTTCCGTTTTTACATTAACAAGACAGAGCAAGTCTGGTTCATGTGCATGTATTCCTGCAAACATATATTACAGAGTGTGTTGAATTAAATGTGTCTGAAGTCCTGATGAGAACACTGTTTTCTTTGATTTGTTGAAATGCTGCCATCAGAGGAAACAGTCACTGACTCAGTCCTATGTTTTCTGGGTAAGCAAGTGTTTTTGTGCAAGTATTAATGGAATAAATTGGTGTAAATCTGTGAGTTAAGATTACTTCACAGTTGAAAAATGTGAAATGAATTTCAGGCACCTGTGGACTGCATAACATTTAATTTTTTTTCTGAAGTTAATCTCGCTAATTCATTCAAAATCATACGATGTGAAAATTAGGCGTCGTGTAAGAGAATCTTATTGAATTCTCATAAGTCATTGGGATCCTTTTTTTCACTTGGATCAACTTGTTAATCCCAGTTGAGATCAATCATTCAGAGTTTATGTCCCGTGAGGAAGAAGAGTGTTCCAAGTGATTACAGCTGGTTTTTCTTTACCTAAATGTTCCAAGCATTTTATGAGCCCTTAATCCTAATGCCTGACCAATTTACACATCAATTGAGATAAATCTTTGACCAAGAATCATCTTATATGTGGTCAGTGTGTATTGTTTGTTCTTTTGCGATGTTATTAATTGATGATACTGGAGTGCATATAAATTTAATTAGGTAATAAATATTTGCTTCATTGTCATTTGATGTGTTCTTTGTATTTGTAGCAGCGACATTTGAAGCAGCCAATATCACCAACTTATACTGAACCTCCAAGTTTGCATTCTTCTTCACGTCCCTCATCAGGTATGAATCTATTAAACTTATTTTAAAAATAATTTTGTATATCTTTAAACCTGTTTCAAGCCAGAAAATGTTCGGTACAAATGAGGGATAGATTGAACATTTTCGCTTCTGAGGATGGGCCGTGCAGTGTAAAGTTGGGAGGTCTTGACATTTATAAAGCTTCTATTTAGTGAAATTAGCAGTTTCAGTGCAGGAGCAAAGATTTCACCTGACTTCTGATATCTCTGCAGGATTTAGTGATGATAGTTCACACTCCAAAACCCAGTGTAGGCCAAAGAGATCTGTTGGTGGTTTTGAAAAAAGGGTGAGTAATTTGCTTGAGTCCGTCCAAGACCTTAGTGTTTATTTTCTTTGCTTTTTGGCTTCTAGTCGTTGTTTGAAAGTGAACATTTGTGGTACCTCATGTGAATTAGAAGCAGAAAATGCTACCTTTGGTTGTCATTTTAACCTAAACAAGGACATTCTATAAACATTTGAAGTTTTACAATGACGCTGAGTTGGCAGAGAACTGTTTAACACAGAATATGGGGAAATGCAAATCAGTGTTGTTCTGTTTTGTGGTAATTAGGATAGATTAGTAATTGTATTTGTTTCTGTTCATTTATTTGTGGATTTGATGTGACTAGGCTAATAAATCATCGACAACAATGGAACCTGTAGCTGAATGGAGCAATGAGCGAAGCTCAACATCATCCTCAGAGACTGGGGAGGAGGATGAGGAGGATGAGGAGAGATGGCCTGGTGCTGATCACCTCAGCTATAGAACCTCAATCACCTTACGTGCTAGGCATGGGAAAGCTCCAGAGAGTGCTTCATCTATAAAGACATCCTTTTCTGGTGATCACACTGGCATATTCTCTGAAGGGAATAGGTTTCTGGATAACCCTACCTCAAAACACAAACACAAAGGCCATCGGGAAAGCAAAAGGAAAGCATCAACCGAAATGGAGCATGTAAGGCTGACACAAGCAGAGAGGTCAAATCTTGATGAAGTCAAACCCGAGGTCAGAGGTCATACCAAAGCACATGTAAATTCAAAAGAGGCTAATGATCATACCAGTACAAACCAAAGATATAGCCAGGAAGCAAGTGCCTTAAATCTGCCCAAAAGCACAGTGCATTCTGTCAAGACTAAACACTTGGCTGATAACCAAGGCAACCATGAATCCGATCCAGCCACTTTTAAACTGGATAGACTGTTACGCAGCTTGAAAAAAACCAGCACTCAAAGGACTGTGTTGAATTCCCACCGAGCCATAGTGCCAGGCAAGGAGAGCTTACAGCGGACGCCTACAAGTGTGACTTGGGACCCTAGAGTGAGCAGCAGCATAGGCTCAAGCTCACAATTAGCAAAGCAAGACTTGAGATTAGATGGTGTGCCACCCTCTCGAGATACAACAACAAGAGAAATTGCTACTTCAGGCAAGGAATTTACACTCTTAGCCAATGGTCAGATTGTGTATAGGGATTCAAGGTCAGGAAGTGGGACATCAAAGAAGTCATCCTCATCATCTGAGGCAACGACTGCCAAGTCAGAAAAGAAACCACTCAGAGAGAAGCGGCGTACCTCATCTAAAACTTTGCATGGAGAAATGTCATTGCAACCTCTTCACCAAGAAGGATTCATTGCAGCTGATGCACCTATTCCTGACATTCCATGGGAAGGAGGTGATGGGTCAAAAGTTACAAACACAGCTCCACCGGCTACTTGGATAACTCAAACCAAGTAAGCTTTCGTTCAGTCAGACAAGAAGGTCATGAATTTCATCTGCATGCTTGTCCTTGTGTGCTTCATCGTTAGTTTGAACCATCAACCCCCATGCTCTCTGAGGCTCCTCCCCTTAAAGTAGGAATATTTCATAGTCGTGCATAGTTAACATTCAAACTGGTGTCACTTTTGCATTTACATGTGTATGTTGCTTGCAGTGTTTAACCACTTGCTGCCGGGGAGCCTGGTTTCGGGCACGTATTCTTTATATGCACAGCCGGGGTCTCCGAAATCGGACAATGGGAACTGGGCCTTATAACAAAAGATGGTACTCGTAACAAAAGACCAGGCTGCTGGGAATTACCAATATTTTTTCACTGTCAATAGTGGAGATAATCCAGCAATTTTTTGAAACACAACACATTGGCATTCAGTGCGAGCGGATTACCACTTGGGACAAAAGTGCTCCACCACCGCAGGATGAGCCACACAGTACTGCTGCATGCTAATCTGGCATATATATATGTACTGTATATTTCTTTAAGTGATGCACATATCCAAGATTTAGTAATGAGTGTAAGAAATTGTTTCAAACACCTTAACTGTTCTCTCTACGCGCAGTTTTATGTTACATGTGCTGTGTTGCTTGCTATGTTGTGTTGTTGCTCATTTACATGTATGCTTAACCCACATACCATCCTGTGCTCAATGCTTACTCCAGGACTGCCTTAGCTGATAACGCTATCCCGTTCCGTAGTGCCCTCGCTGACTATTCATCTTTCTACCAACGAGCTAACTCCATCATCAGTAGTCACAGGTACAATGGAAACTAAGAAACTGTGCTCACTTCTTGAGATTCTCTTCAAACTGCCGCCCTCTGTTTTATTTCTCTGCAAGTTATTAGTTTTTTCCAATCGGTGATTATTACATCACTGTAAAATTGTCATTTATTGTTCTTACCATTTGATTTTTTTGTTAGTTTTTACTATATGCTACATTGCTTTGAACATTTCCTATTAATTGTGTTTCAGTTTATAAGTTTACTTCATACTGCTTTCTGTTTTATGTTGCTTGTGTAGTCATTGCACGTACATGTACGTGTGAGGGAAAATGGGATTTTTTGTACAGAATCATCAATGACTTGGAGTCAAACCTTGATAACTCATCTGCAGACCAACTCTCAAGAAAAACCTGGCCAAATTAGCTAGCTACCCTGGAGCCTTTCCTATGCAGCATGGAGTCACAGCTATCCAGTATGAACCAGACTTCCCTACCAGTAAACCAGTAACCACAAACAAGTACCAGTTTATCCCAACGCAGTACAGAACACAGCCAACCAACCTGCCAGGTCAGACCACACACAAAAGAGGACCCAACACCAATTTGTACGATAAAAGTGAGTAGATGGAAGTAGTTTTATTTTTAAGGCAACTTGCACAGAATAAAGGCAACTGTTATTTTGTACTAATTAACTGCTTATTTCAGCTGTATGTTAAAGGCCTGAAAATTTTTAACTTAATTTAAATTCAGCACTTATTCAGGGAAAGTCCTAAAGAGCGCAAGTGCTTAGACAATGGCTGACAATGTAAAATTTCATTGTTTGTGAAAGGAAGACTTGCCTTCCAACACAGTCTGAAAGAAGCTAGGGTTATGTCGAGAACAAGCCTTGAGGGTTGACTGCTTCCAACCAGTATGTGGAAGTAGGGGCGAAATTTCAGAACACCCAGTCACATTACAGTTGTGTATAAAAAAACCAGCTTGTCTTTAAATACTTTGCAGACCTTTTATATGGATTCAAGTCAGTACGTTTTCATTGAAGTCTGCTTGCAATGGTGAAGTGACGAGTTTTGTCCTTGCAGGTGCTTATGTGAAGAAACTTGAAGCTCTGTCTCAGCTGAGTGCGGGACATAAGACTGGAATGGTATGCCATGAATGTAATCATCCGGAGACTGATGGACTGATCACACCTAAAGCAGCAGTGGCACTGAAATATTCACATCGCAATGATCTGTAAGTAATTCTGAGCTGTGAAACACTCAAGACAAGTGTTTTAGGAAGGATGCTGAATATATGTCATGATGTCATTCAATTTACGGGTCAAATCATTTAAGCTTTCTGAGAAACTTTTAGGTTGAGGAGTTCCAATAGTTCTTCACAAGGTATATGTTAAAACTGTACATTATTTTGGATTTGCATGTATAGCTTGTGTGCCTAAAGGAGCCAAAAAATTTAGGATTGTTCAATCCATTTCCACAGAGACTTAACTGTCTCGCCATATTCTGGAATTGTATGGTAAATGTTACAAAAGCCAGACGGCAACAATCAATTTGAATCTATAATATGGGATTGCCTTCCTCTGATGTAATTATTTAATTTGGACCAGCGTACACTGGGACTTGAATCCAAGCCTGTTTGCTTTTTTGGCAAGTTGTCTACATGAGTAAAGCAAGTCCTGTTTGGCATATACCTCCTGGTAAATCTTGTTCAAGTGTTTTGAGCTGAAAGCCGTAAAGCATGAAATGAAATATTCTTCTAAATGTCCTGTGCTTGTTCCAGCTATTACTAGTCACTCAGATGTTTGTTTCCTTCAACAGCTCAGTGTCTGTGGGAGGATCTAGGACAAAGAATAGTCCAGTACCAGACATAGCCAGCTGATTGCATGTGACACCACCTGGAACCAGGCTCAGAAAAGAGCACCTTCTAAATAGCTTTTTCTAGTACATGAATAATTATCACACCAGCTATTAGAAATAGTCTCCTTGTTCAAATACTTTCCAAAGTCTCCACCATTTTGTAAAGCATCAAGGCATGCCAACCATGCCGTCTTAATGTCTTTGAATTACAAAGGCTCACTTCACACATTTGTTCAGTTGAATTTGCAATTTATTCACCATGTTTGCCTTGTCAATCCAGTGATGAGGATAATCATATTCTTCTTTTGCAGTACATGCATTCGGTTGAAATTTTCTCACTTATTGCCAGTAATGCAGAAAAGGATTGCCACTGTTTTACCTTAGACCAACAGATCATGTGGCCTTCACCTGGCCTCAGCCAAGGGTTGCACTACTGTCACCACCCATTACTGTATGTGTGTTAGGAGGTTAATGTTTTTGAATCCAGAGTCCATTATGTAAATATTGGAAAATCTAATTTTGATCATGTCATAATATGTGTGGTTCACATTTTTTGAAATTGTATAAATCTATCTTAATTGTATATTTAGAAAATATGTTTACATAATTTGGCAAAGTAATTTGATTGATGAATATTTTTAAATAAATTTATCTTTTTGTATCATAAGAAATGCTGCAATGAGGATATTGTAAAAGGTAAAAATCCCTATTTCAGTATTTGTTAACCTGCAAAAATTACCTAAGATTAACCACTTGCTGCTAGGGTATCTGGTATTGGGCACTTAGGCTTTTTTCAAGGAGCCGGGGAGCCCGAAATCGGAACTTTAATTAAGAAAGAATTAATAAAGCCCTTGGGTTTTTTTTTTTTTAAGTTTGTTGCCCTCAGTCCAAAGTTTAGGTCAGCAACCGAGGTAATTAGGCAATAATGGGTTCCTGGGACCTGATTCATAGCCGGGTTGACCGAACTTGTATAATCCTTGAATAAAGAACGAGCTGCTGGGACTTGCCAGTGCAGAGCACTGGCTGTAAGTGGAGGTAATCCACCTTTTGTACGAGAAGAATGAACTGGCCCGGGCGCTGCTGGCCCATGACACGTTGACTGACAGGGGTCACCCCGACGCTGCTGAGAATAAAATTGTGGTGTAGTGGCCATCTCGTGCATAGTGGATCCCAAATTATCAGTGTTAAGCACTTTTTCAGAGCACTGACAATATGTCTGATGTAATTTCTGGAGAGTCAAGTTCTTCCAGCTGTGAAAGCAATTTTTTCAGGCGAGTTCAGATGAGGATTCCTCATCTAATTCACCATTGGCGTCACCTGCCCGAGCACAGTCAAGCACAGAGATAGACAGTGATCTACCCCTGGCCATATACGCCAAGTGTGAGAGACAGTCCCCTACACAGACCGCCGCATTGACCAGCAGCAGTACCGCACTTTTGAAGATGAAGACAGCATGTGGAGATGAAGGAGAGGTGGTGACCAACGGCCAGGTAGATGGCTTAGCTGTTCACCAGTGAAGCCGTACTTCGGTGTAAAGAGTACACTGTTCGAAACATCGAGTTATTCCCCGGTTCTTCTCAGAACCACACATACTCAAAGAAGAGATAAATACATGGTGTTACCGCAATCTTTACTATAGATGAAGACAGCATGTCGGTGAAGTACGGCTTCACTGGTGAACAGCTAAGCCGTCTACCTGGCCGTTGGTCACCACCTCTCCTTTATCTCCACATGTCTGGTCCGAGAGCTGCTCTTCCATGAGCCCTTGCCCGATTATTGACTCCAGCACCATGCTCCACCAACCACTAACTTCTACTTTGTTGACTGCCACTTCCCCGTCGCCTTGGAGAGGACCAGCTACTGCGACTACCTCTACCAACCGTGTGTCCTCTGCTCTTCCCAGGGGCAGCGGAAGAAGACCCTCTTTGACTGCAACTCGTGCCACCAGCCCCTCTGCATCGACCCATGCTTCAGGGAATACCACACGGTCCACTGAGGTACAGTTTGAACATTTATTTTCCATTTTCATGGACATTTATTTTGTGATTTCTGACTAGTACTATTTTATCTGGTGTAAAAGAATACTTTTACTTGTGAGTAAAAAAAAATTCCTTGTACTGGTTTTAGGAGTTTGGTCATATTTTCATCCCTTAAATAAAGGACCAAAAACATAGTACTGGTTTTAGGAGATGTGTTATATTTTCATCTCTTGAAAAAGTAACAAAATTCCTTGTACTGGTTTGAGGAGTTTGGTCAAATTCAAAAATAACAAGTATCTGGTAACTGATTCAGGAGATATGTTACCATTTCATATTTTGAAAAGTAATGCATGCAGCAGTTGCAAAATGCACCTGGCAGCAAATGGCTGAGGGAGTACAAAATATAACTCAAATTATCAAGAAATTGACCCTTCTCAAAATCAAGTTAATGTTATCTATGGTATGAATACTATCCAGAGGGGCTATTTGTTTCACATGGATCTCGATCTTAACACTGGTTCACTCTCTTCATTAGCTGGGATCTGATGTCAGTGAAACGCTGATCATGATCCGGATCCACATGAATTAAACAGGCCCAGACACTGTTTTGATGTCATCCATAATTCATTCCTCCATCTACATTTTCTATGGTATGAGCACAACTCTTCCCATGGCTGATGTGGTCTTGATGATGTAATCATGTGCTATAGCTGCATCTTGGAGAGGATACTCTTTACCAATAAATGGTTTGATCCATCCGCCCTCCATACCAGCCTGTATTGCTGCGGCCGTCTCCCTCGTATCAGCCTGAAATAGACATTACGCACAAATACTGACAAAAGGTTATAGATGGCACCATCATGTCTCCATGTGATTTTGAGTCCTAGTTTGAGGCATACACAATCATGGTGAAAATAGTAGCCTTTCGGTTAAGGACAGGCTTTACAGAATCTGTGCTTGGTCTTGACACAGGTTCAGAATTCAGAATTTGCATCTTGGCATGAATAGAAAAAAGCCCTTTTAAACTTGTTGCAGTTGAGCTCTGAAGCCTAATGACACTGTATTTGATTTGGATGCTTCCTTATTTATTTGAAGAGATGAAATCAGAGAGAACATGTTTTACTTAGAGGTGCTCTTCATTTGAATGAAGCTTTTACTGTTGAAATATTTGCCAGGAATTTGCAGTCTCACTTTTAATCAGTGTGACCTTTGCAGTATTGCTGTGCACTTTTAATCAAGAAAGTGCCCTCACTCAGCCTTCAGGAATAAGCTCTTTATAGTGCCCTGGATACCTCACCACACTCAAATTCTGATGGCATGATTCTTGAATAAGCTTTACCACTAATTGTGGAGCATCCCATACTTACTTCTTTTGTGGAACCCATGACACCAACAATTGAAGATTCTTTGCCCATGGTCAGTCGAGGATTGATCTCAATGCTGCCTCGATTCCCAACAATCTGAAATTCAGAAAAATGTATGATGTAATTTATGTTCAGCTTCATCTCTGCCAAGATAAACTGCTATGAAATACCATTCCATAAGGTAACAAATTTAGTACATGAAGTTAACCAATCATGGATGCAACTTAACATGAAACTGAGGCTGTATCATAAGCTAGAGGGTTGAGAAGTCTAGTCTCCTGAAGGGGACGGATCTGATGAACAAGTAGTTCATAACTTTGCTAATCGATGGCAATCAATCTGAAGAGCATACTTGTACTACTCACAGCAACTGTTCCTCCTGGTGCTAGAATTTCTAGATCTCGTTGCAGGTTGACATTGGCAAGCATCTCTATCACAACATCAACACCTCTTCCACTGGTTGCTTCCTAAAGATCACAGCAAATAACTTTTCTCCAGGCTTTATTTCATTTGATAATACACATAATCACAGCTACAACTACATGTACATTGACATCAATATGACCCAACTATTCACTTAACTGTCACTGTGTTGAAACAGTCATGCACTCTGATACTGAAAACATTGTTCTGTAATTTTGGACAAATTTCCTAACGGTTCTCTAGAATTGAGCACTTGAGAAGACTCACACAGAACCAGTTCGGTATTTCAAAAAGCCAAGGTCTTCTTGGAACAAAGTGCATGCGTAACTCAGCATATGGCTGCGCTAATAGGACTGACAATCCTGCATTCATGTGGCTTTTCCCGACTAGCCCTGTACTGGGCATGCACTGTTGGAATAACGAACTGGCTGACTGGGATATCTCAATTTGCCTTGTTAATAATTTATTGTTAATAATGCATTTGTATGCATACATTGTGTTCTGGTGTGTGTTTCAAGATCTACATGTACATCAGGGGTTTTATATATATTAAACTTGTAATTTGGAGCATTATATTTGTTAGTGAATTAGCAGCAGCATTAAAGTCAAGTACTTTTCAAACACCAAGTTATTTTTGAGTAGGGTTCATTTTCAACTGTTGAACTGGAAAACAATGGGCATTAGATGGAAAATACACTAAGGTAATCTTACAAAATACATGTACATCTGTGACTTTACACACTACCAGTTTTGTAAATTTAAAGGAGGAAAGTACCAAAAAAGTGTGAAACCATTTTAGTTTTTAACTTTTGTGCATATACATCCAATCATCACACACAATTTTCCCTATTTGTTTCAAGGAGGACGTGTACACTCATTTTAGATTTTATTTTCATTTCTGCAGTTGACTTATTAATACGTTGTGCATGGTTGTGTCATGAATAAATTGCAGTTTTCAAGAATTTGCGGGGAAACAAAGCCCACCCCCAGCAGCTTTTTCGAATAAGAAAATCCGACGTTAACTGGCTATCAAAGACTTGACTACAACACTGATTATCAGAGCTTACCATGATCTTGTCTGTATATCCCTGCTGCCTATGGTTGAAGATGTGATGAGCTCCCATCTCTCCAACCAGTTTCATACCTTGCTCTGATCCTGCTGTGCCTAAGACAGTCATACCATAGGCTCGAGCAAACTGGACAGAAGCAATGCCAACCTGTACATAGCAAGCACATGTCGCATCACAGAGATCCATGTGAAATGAAAAAACTATCATGTATAAAAATGGAAAAAGGAAGGTCAGTCTTTATATGTAGATTGTGGTACTTACTGAGCCGCTTGCACCATGAACTAACACCGTCATACCAGCCTGTGCCCGGGCACGTTGAACCAGTGCTCTGTAAGCAGTGAAGTAGGGAATACCTAATGTTGCACCTTGCTTGAAGTCCAACTTTTCATCCAGACCAAAGACGCAAGATTTATCAGCCACTGTGTAGTCTGCATAAGACCCGGTTAACGTTCCCCTGGTATACACTCTATCACCAACCTGTCAAATCAAAGAGATCATGCAGACTGTATTCATATCTCTCTATGGATTTTGAAGTTTTTCTGTTTTGCTGGTCATTTTGTTTCTGTTTTATTAAACTGATTGAGAATAAGACCAATGTGGCATCAATCCTCACAACTGGTATCACACATTCTGATCAACCCACCCTTCATCCTGCCCTGTATTATAAGCTGGTGACCCATTACACTAATTAGATACAAAATTTCACTTAATTTTCAACCCAATTAATTTGTTACAAACTTCGTTTATGACAAGTACAAATTGTAGTAACAATAAGAATACCTCAAAGTGTTATGACATTCCCTAATCCTCCCATAGTATGAAAATTTACAAAATGTACGGGTTTTGTCTGTAATCTCCTGTCCCTTCACAAATCCAGTGAACCCTGACCTTAACAGTGGTGACCCCGGATCCCACTTCCTGCACAGTTCCTGCACCATCATTTCCAGGTGTCCAAGGTAGATCAGGTAGTTTGGCGTAAGCTCCAGCTCGAAGGTAAGTCTCCACTGGATTAATTCCAGCTGCTTCAATTTTGATCAGAACCTGTAATAAGGCCATGTAAAAAAACAATAGGTGACCATCCTTTTCGCCCATAAAGGGAAGGGGGGAGGGTTTTTTTGTAAGAAATGTCCATGTGTTTAAATGCTGGCAAGTTTATGTAGGATACTAGTACAGTTAAACCCAGCTTGATTACCCATGTTTGTGCATGCAATCACAACCTCGGCCAATAATTCGGATGCGGCCACGTCTGATTAGTCAGAAGTGCTGTTCTGTACACCACCCTTTCTTTAAATAGAAAGGAGCTCTGACGTGATGTCAGTGGATTGTCACCACAATCCACGATAAAATGTATTTTCTCTTGAGTTACGAATTGCCCCGGGAACGAATTGTCCTGGGTACGATTAGCTACTAGCTGTCCCAGGTACGACATGTCCCGGGTGTGAAATGTCCCGGGTGGGAGACGTCCATTCGAAAATAGGCCTTCAAACCTACCTGTCCAGCTGCCGGCTTTGGAATTGGCAAATTAGCTTCAAGTTTGAGGACTTCAGGCCCACCAAATTGAGTGACACGTATAGCTTTCATTACGGACCGGAAAACACCTGTTACTTTATTGGACATAAATGAAGACTTCAGGTTTGTGATGTGGTTAGCAAGTAACCTGCGGAACACTACGATTCGTATGAATACGAGGACGGCATCTGAAAATGAAACAATCTTGCACAGAAGCTCTTGCTTCCGAAGTTGTGATCAAAGGTAAACAACCTTATGGTCATTCGTCTCTTGAGGGCGGGCTGCCGTGCATGACGTCCCCCACGCAAAACTCACGCTGCATTCCCGACTCGGATCGTACGCACGCGGCGGTATTATACGATCTTTGCTACAGACACTGCAAACATCAGATGGATGCAGTGTCGATCACACGTGCAGTAATATTTTCGCGACTTTGTGTATCATCAAGACAACACGTAAGAAATTAGTCTCTGAGGAATCGCTGGCACACCTACATGTACGTGATAAGGAGTATTAAAGTACAGTACAATGTGTTTTACTTTTGTTATTCCACTTAGGCCCCTACTTACTTTACGTTTACAGGAGCTACATGTAGGAGTGGGCCTATATGGATGTGATTCTACCTCCATGGCCTATAGTGCCTAGTCCTTCATTTCCTTGAGAGCATGGAGGAAGGAAAAGACCATGTTGAGAATGAGATCATGGAGGTAGACTAATCCTAGGAGTAGGAGTCGACTAGGATCAACACTATGCATGCCTACAGTACATGTACATGGCCCATTTCTGTGAAAACGACATGAGTAACGTAAGTTGGCCTATGCTGCACCCACTTAGACATGTTAGATTTTGGACACATCTTGGGGTATGATGATGTGCTCACATGCAACAAGCCAACTTCACTTTGGCGTGCTGTGCATATTTGAATGTTTGAAATATTTGACACAACTGCATCAGGATGATGTAGATCAGGGCCCAATTTCATGGCGCTGCTTACTGCAAGCGAAAAATGGCACTTACCTTAGCAGAAAATTTTGCGCTTATGCCCAACATATTTCACGGGTTAGTGAGGAATTTTGGCTTGTGCGCATGCATATATCCCGTAACAGGATTCTGTGCTAAAGGGTTAGCGCAAAGGTTTTCTGCTTGCGCAGTTAGTGCAGAATGGAGATCATACTGTAAGTGCGGAATTCTGCGGTAATAAGCAGCACCATGAAATTGAGCCCACTTAATAATAGTCTGAGCAATTTAGACTCTACGAATTGCCTTTTCAAAGATTCGTAAATGGTCCAGCGAAACATGGCAATGTAACACACTGTATACTAATCAGTGTGAAGTTGCCAATTTGGTCTGGAATCAACTTGCTCCGAGTCAACTCTGTCTCAGGTCAACTTGGTCTCGTCAACTCTGGAAGGTGGGCACATGGCTGCAGCATGAATAAAAATCTTCTGAGCTAGTTTCGACACACTTTAGCATACCTGTATTAAAGTACATGTATTTCCAGAATTCTAACAATTTTTGTACTGTTCATGTAAATTTACTGACATGTGCATGAGATGCCTGGCCTTGTAATTAGGGAAGGGCAGGCACTTGGATGTATCATTAATTACTGCAGATGAGAAGGCAAAATTCTAGTCTTTGTTGCCAGACTAACAAACTTTGGCATATAAGTATTTCCAGAATTCTAACATTGCTGTACACTATATTTACACATTATAGTCCTATACTGACATATGCAGCTAATACACAACACCCTTGGCTGGTTCCCTGTCCAGTCACACACTGCTTATGGGAAGTCATTGTTAGTACGGCTCTCACTCTGTGATGTGGGAGTTCAGTTATGCAAAAATGTTGAGTTCACACACTTGCTACTGTCACTGTGTACTGTACTGAGTCCCAAAGCCTTTGCAGTTGCGTTAATCATGTACTGTATGTAGGTCTATGGACCTGCTTGCCATTTTTATTTGTTTTTTGACGTGCAAAATGAACGCTTTGAAAATGTACCCACAATGAAGAAAGTGAGTACTAATGTTACGCCTACTTTTCTGAAAATAAGTTTGTACATGTATGTTCATGTATAGTTAGGGGTAATACTAGAATTTATCAACTTCGAAGAACTTATGTGGAATGTGGGATTTTCAGAGATTTGAACAAGTGTGCCATAAATAAGGAACAGTCAGCTGAATTTGTGTCAATTTCTGGATGCTGTTGTGTTTGAATTTCAGGTTTTTAAGTCTCATGACACCAAAATTGTTCACAGAGGTGATCAATGGCATGTAGGTTATGTATAATTATATCCTTATTTACATGTACTTTACTTTACTGTACTTTAACTGAATGAATTCAAATTTTTTCAGCAAAGAGGTTTGGCAGTGATGTATGAGGAAAGTCAAGGAAACGTCGAGAGTGGCACGTTAGAGACTCAACTTCATTAGGGCCAGGCTAGTGGACTATACATGTACCTCTGTATACGTGGCCCTATACTAAACTAGAAACAAGTGGAAGAAGGCTTAAACATTGGAATTAAGCTCCACGGCCGTGAACGTTATCAGCCACATACAACAGGCATTTCTCAATTGCCTTTTTGATTAATTCACCCAGCAGGTTAATATGTTCCATTTGCCAAAATGGCGAGTTCCTGGCCATCATGCCTGTTAGTGAATTATTTGTCATCTTGATAACATAATTTTGTTACAACCGTGATCTGCTCAAGATGTTCACTGGCAGTGGCAGTGAACATGTACAACTCCAGACACCAGGTGGTGATCTCTGAGAATGTTAATTACTGCACACCACATTAGGTGCATTCAACTAGCATCTATTGTGTGTTTGAATGAATCAATTTTTAACATAAGAGTAGCTCCCTTAGGCTTTCATGCCTGTGAGAGTATGTACATGTAGTATACCCAGCACAGTCATTGCAAAACTTTGGGACCACTCATACAAATGCATCAACCTGAAAAAAAACCAAACTTAAACCAATCAATCATGGCAACTTATATGTTTATTTTCAGTGTGTAACCTTCGTGTCTTGGTTAAACAGCCATTTGACTACATTTCCATGATTTGAAATGTTAACAGTCTTATGTTCTGTGTGCCCTCCTTTTTTCTGATTACCTTTTTTTTCCCCATGTTACCTTACAGACAAAATATTATACAATACCTACATTGTACCTTTGCAAAAAACGGAAATACATGTAACAATAAAATTCCAAGTGGTCTTGAACTTTTGCAAATGACTGTAGTTTAGAGTTCCCCTTCCTTGCATTTAATTTGGCCACAAACATGTAGTGTAACTGTGGCAAAGGCAATTTCCAGTTGTATGTTATATACTGTACATGTAGGAGTGTTACCCTCAAAAGGTTTGTGGTTAATGTGACACCCCCATTACACCTTGCATCATCCTTGTGGGAGTTCAGTTATGCCCTTTGGTTTTAGCTGGGCAGCCCCTTACATTGTATGCAAATTAGGGCCAGGACACTTCCCTGACCATGCTTTTTCCAAGTAACCTCTCAGTTTACAGGCTGGCAGTGAAGTGAGCACACCACGTTTTCCTTGCTCCTTCTTTATTCGCAAATTCTGCCCCAAAAATCTGGTCTGCTGTAGACTTGGTTGTTTAAGCTTGTGTCCTTTGATTTGTAACTTTCCTTTTTTAGCACTGTTGTCGGCCATCTTTTTTTGTTTTCTTTGGGGGGGGTTGTTTTCATTTTCTTAAAATATACTCTAGTGGTTTTGTTTTCTTTTGGTTTTCTTATTTTATTCAAGTTACTTGATTCGTTCATCCTTTTTTCATACTTTCACATTTTGGTCTATGGTTTTATTCAAATTTTGATGGTCTCGATCAGGTTGGTCTAGGTTTTCTAGGTCTCAGTCCTTTGTTGAATTTTTCAATTAAAACCAGGGTAGCTTATTATTTAAATTTGTTTAGCCAAATTAAGTTGGTTCATAGATTTGGCCGTCCGAATACAGTCTTAGGAAATAAAACATTTTAAAAGTTTTTTGTGCGGAAATTTAAACTCTGTAGTTTTATTCGTAGAGTAATCTCGCAATGGCTCCCTGAAAGATTTCAGTTAGTTTTTTGTTGCTATAAAGCGAGTTCCCCACACGTTTAGATTTTGTTCTTTTAGTTTTTTCCTTTATTCTTGAGCTATTTTTCCAGGTTACTTAACCAATAAACCATATGAGTCAACTTGTCTCAAATTTTCTAAAAATTATAAAAATCTGATTTAAATTTTAAAAATTCGATTTAAATTAAAAAATCTGATTTTTTAAAAAAAAGATTAAAAAGTCAACAACTGTGGTAACCATGATACTCAGTGAAGCAGATCAGCAGAGACAAGTCAACTTACCTGTCATGTATTGTTCCACATAACTGGAGTGTGGTTTTCTGCTTGAGTCAGTGATTGAAGTCTGAGTGTACATCATATGTACATGTATTCTTATAGGTTCTTTTTGACACACTGTGCAGATGAATGCTAAAAAAGCTGAGTTATTTTGGACCATGTGACTTGTCACAGCTGACACAGTGACTCAGCCATTCCGTGCTTCATTTTGGAAAAAATTAGGTGCGCTCAATAGAAAGTATTGTTTCAAAGCCTCAAAGCAGCTGAATACAACTTGTCCCCCAGTGACGTCACCGCAACCATTGTGCTATCTACTCATTGAACATTATGGATGTACTGGACGTTATTGAGAGAGTGAGCGCCAGGTTACGTGGGATCTCCATTCCACAGCTCCTCCAAGTATGTGGGTATTTGATGGTGGAGCACAGGGATGCTACTGAGAAAGCCAACGGTCACCAGAGACTGGTTCGCAAGGTCCTAATTCACATGAACAGGGATGAGGTTCAAGACAGCGAAGACAGAGGATTGGAACTACTTCAGGGTTTGAATGGTTTCATCGATGGATTGACGGGCCGTGAGGTCACTCTAGACGAAGCAGCCATCACAGCCCCACCGGACTCATCAGAAAAACCTCCAGAATCAGATCGGCTTCAGTGATGACTCCCTCACCAAATCCCAGAAAGTCACCCTACCCCCAGAGGTACTCAGTGCAATTCGCCGGGAGTTCAAAATCTTCGGCCGAATCGGAGAACCAGGCCAGCGGGACAGGCTGACGTTCACAGGTTTGGCCCATCAGATCGAGGCTGCTTGAGAGAAGGGCTACTAGGACAGTAACATTATCCAGGGCGTCATCCGGGCCATTGTTCCGGGATCTGCACTGAAAAGCTACCTGGAGGGACGGGCTAAGGTGACCTTCTCCAGCTTCCGTCTCATCCTGAGATGTCACTATCAGGAGAGAGACGCCACTGACTTGTACAAACAACTGGCTCAACTTGCTCAAGACCCAAAGGAATCGTTGGAGGCATTCCCCCTGAAGGCGCCGGAGCTGAGGCAAAAGGTTATCTTTGCCAGTCAGGAAGCAGAGTCAGGTCTGTGCTACGACAAAATGTTGGTGCAGTCAGTGATCTGACTGGGCTTAGAAATCATACCATCAAAT